GAGCTGTAGCACAAAGACGTGTTCTCAGGTTTGGGAACAATGTGGATGGCTGTGTGCGGCTGGCTGGGCACAAGTGGAGGGCCATCTGCTTTGTAGATTGTGCACAGGCACAGGTGTCCTCAGGCTGCTAATTGAAGGCCTTTTGATCTTGTCAAGACATGCTGTCTGGGCACTCTTCTTCCTTCCTGGTAGGGGAGTGCAGTGCTGCTCTGCAATAGCACTGACATTTAATTGTTAATAAAGACGGGAGCTGATGATTACTCTGGTGGCATAGAAACATCTGTCTCTGTCCTTTGTCTGTCTTGGGACTGAGAGACTGCAAAGTCATTGCCCTTGTACAACTTGGGATGGGAGGTGTATAAGCTTCTGTTTTCTGGGTTTTAGACTCTTGATAAGTTGTGCAAACCAGACATGCTCAGAGTTAAACAGAGTCCTCTTCCTCCCCTTTGGCAAAGGCAGGAGACATGTACAATGGCCTCCAACACTCCTGCAGCTGCAGGTTTTGTTTTTTGTCCAGTGTCTGCAGGAGCATATGAAACTCCTCTGGTTATGTTTTTCCCTGGGGAACAGCCTTTGTGCTAGGGAAGCTGGAAGAGCTGGGGCTGCAGGAGAAAAAAAAGAGCACAGGTCTGATGCACAGAGTGATGGTCTCTGCCATGCTTATGAGTGCAAACTTGATGGCAAAGGTACTTCTTGTCCCTGTGTCAGTTGTGGCACTAGTTTGAGGTGAAGTTATCTTGTCTGTATTCCATAGAGAAGCTACCTGGTGTAATCAGTGTCTGGTAGGCTTTGAGAGGATAGTTATGAGGGTCTGTCTGGAGTGGGGATGGTGGTGTTGGGAACCAAATATGTTCTTGATAGCTTCTTGATAGAGAAACAGACTCTCTGGGTACACCCATAGGATATTCTTTTCTATGTTAATACTTGCCCAGCTCTTTCCAACCTCCCTTCTTTCCAAGGCAGCCAAGTACTTCAAGATTCGGTTACTTAACCTGATGTATCTAAAATCTGATTTCAGAACACCCTGATTTTCTATGGGGAACTCTAGATTTTTGGCATGTCTGTAAATCAGGCCATGGGTACCAAAAATTAGAGGAACTACCACGAGCTTTGTTCTGATCCTCTTTTAATGCAGAGGTAGCACTTGTTATAGCGAAGATGGATTGTCCCTGTTTGAAAGACAATATGCCAGTTATACGTACAGGGTTGGACCTACTGGGTTGATATGTGACTTCATTGCCATGAGAATAGTAGGTAAAAGAAAGCTCGGATTCCTTGGTTTCCAGATTCTTTGCCAGTCAAAAAGGCAAGTTCATTCCTCTTGTTATCCTGAAACCCACCTGTAAGCGATGTTGAAACTTTCAACCCGGAACTTGAATAAAAATGAATAGAAGCCTCTGATGGTCATCAAGGTCTCCTCGGGCACAAACTGCAATGGCTGAATGAATCACACTAACAAAACCATCTCTGGTGAGGTGGAAATGAGTTTCACGCCTTACCTCTCATGTGGTCTTTGTGTACAAACAGCTTTGTAAGTGTCAAAGGGCAGAGGAAGTCCACAAAGGGGGAATTTATTTCCTGTGTGTGACAGGCTGTCCTGCTTGGGTCATGGCAGAGATCACGCCTTTCTCTTTGACCTGATTTTTGAGGCTCTGATCCAAGAATGTGACACTCTTTCCCTTTCTTGTGTCATGTCTGGCTGTTGTGTTCAGTGACACTTCCTTGAGAGCAAGGGGAACATATCCTTGTGTGCTGAGGCGTGAGACTTGTTGGCTGCCATCCCTCGATGTGTCCTGACCTCTCCAGTATTTCTAGCTTCATACCCCCAAATCAGTTAATCAGTCATCTCGTGCTCCCTCCTCAAATTACCACTTCCTGGGCAGTCACTTAGAGAGACACAAGCAAGAGACTCTGTTTCCCAAATGATGACTGCATGCAGATGAGCTCCTGTAGCTTGTCTGACACTGAGCAGGCGGTCTCCAAGGACAGCCAGGTGTTTGATCTGATCTAGTAACAGGAGTGGCTGCTAGTTGGGTTTTCTGGGTTCTTCCCTCAGTGTTGCCCCACTCCCTGGGACCTTGCTGTGAGCCTCAGCAAACATGTTGGTAGATGATGCCTATCTCTTGCAGTAGAGTGGCAGGTCCTGGTAGTTTGCTTTTCTGTGAAGTGCTTGGAAGGCTTCTGCTGAAGGGGACTGTGTATGCTGAGCACATCCTTTGGCTGTCTGGGAAGCAAAGGGGTGCAGGTTGTGGCTCATTCTAACCTCTTCTCTTACTGTGGTTTTGCAGATTTCTATGCCAGTGTTGTGGCTTGGGTGACATCCAAGGGAAAGGCTTCCCTATTCTACTACCAATCCTTTTTTCTGCCTGTTGCATTTTCCACACACTTTCATTCTGAGGTTTCTGATCTTTAACAGGTATTTTCTTTTTCCTCTCCTTTTCCCATGTTTTTTCCTCTCCTTCAATTGCAACACTTCAGGTATCAGACAGTGGTGATGCTTTTGCTAGAGGAATTTTCTTTGCTCCCCTCCTGGAATAGCAGTCAGAAATCTGCATGATGTGATGATATATGTAACAACAGACCCTGGTGCCGTGTCACATGATTGAGGAAAAACGATGCTATGAAGAACAGAGCAACTTTAGAGCAAATCAGAGCTAGCAAGCTGGGACCACTTTGCATGCCTGACTGCACGATGCTGAACAGAGCTGCAAATGTCAGGACTCTTCCAGGAAATTCAGGGTGGGTGGTAGGCTGTGACAGCTGAGCTCCACGTTTGTCATGCCCTGAGAAGTCCTCGCTCGTTTGAGGATTAAACTACAGCTACTTCCCCGACACAGAACTGCTGCCAAGATTCCAGTCTGGCTCAAGCCACTCTCCACACTTCATAATGAAGTTTGAGAGAGCTTTAACATCTTGGTGTTGGCAGAAACATGGTTTTAAAATCACGGTGTGGTTGGAGACTAGCTGGCTCCGGACACTGGTAACAGGGCTGGAGACTTTCATCTCAAGGTCAAATCCAGCTGTGGTGTTAGTGACGAAGTCATGAACTTCTGACTGATGGTTCGGGGCTTACGTGTGGAAAGATGTCTCGAGTCCAACGCCAGGACTGGGAGTTGGGAGACTTGGGTTTGGTTCCTGAACTTTGCCAGAGCTGTTCTGAGAGACCCTCAGCAAGACACTTAAAGTCTTCGTGCCTTAGGTCTCTCTGTGAAAAAGCGCTGAAGGTTAACCTACATCAATGTGGTGCCAAGTCCTCAAACTCACTCATGACTGCAAACTCCTGAATACCATTGGATGCAGAAGCGCAAAGAACTAGGTGGGACGAGCTGGCTCTGTCCAGCCCGTATTAGACAAGTGCCTGGATCACAGTTGTCGGTATTAGCAGTAACTGGCGTGCTTTTTGGCAACTCAGAGGGTGAGAACGTAATGTTCTCGGGAGACAGAGTTGCTCTCCCATCACTGGGCGATGCCGTTCCAAGTGCAGGCAGCCCCATGCTCAGGAGGAAGCTTGTGCAGCCCTCCTCTCTGGTGGCTATAGGAGAAGTTGGTTTCTGTGTTTGGCAGCTGGCATAAATAATCAGCAACAGCTTACTGAGAAATTAGTTTCCTAAAGACTGTGTTAACCATGACTGAGCTGCTGCCTTCTTTCCAAGACATACATGGGCAGCCTCTCCTGGCAAGCCTTAGTTACTGCTCTTCAGAGTAACTACCAATGTCACTGCAGTGCCGTCCTGGATATACACCTGTGCCTGCTACCTCTTGGAGGAGTTTTGGATGAGATTAATGCAATTTCTAGCTCCATTTTGGCCTTGTGCCCAGCTGAGCCTGGGGTAGTGCTGCAGGCAGAGCAGGCTGGGGCAGCGCTCCGTCTCCTGGCGGCTCTCAGCACTGCGGGAGGAGGCTTTTCCCCTGAGGAGACCCGGGTGCTCGGGGCTTGTGTCTGCCTGGCCTTGAGAGAGAAGAATAAAGCTGCAGCCCGCAACACTGTAATCCCAAAGCTTCAGCCTCTCCCTCTGCATGCCAAATTCCTTTGGCTGTTAAATAAGGGTAGGAATTTCGAGGGGAGCTTGTAGATTGACTTCTGTGTTTGCTTTTAGCTTCATGAGTAGCAGCAGTGACTTGTCTGGCTGTATACTGGGAAAACTCTGATTTGCCAGCTTTGAAGGGCCGCTGTTTTAAAATAAAAGCTGGCATTTATGCAACTGTCCTTTTTGCATTGACTTCAGAATCACTGGTGCCTTGCACAGGTCTGCTTGTGTCTGCCGGTAGCCCTCTAGTTTTCAGTGGGGCATGGCAGTACTTATGCTTTAATTGAGACCCTGGGGGTGTTGTGTGCTGTACACAGAGCTAAAAAAATGTGTCCTGCAGAACCTCAGCTGTGGTGAGGAAGAGCGTAACCCTATTTCAGATGGGGAAAACTGAGGCACAGGTCAGCTAGCTGGAAAAAAGGCTCCATGCAAATCACTGATGTAGTGTTGTGTCATGATGATCTTTGTCACGCTGATGTGTTGATACACCCCGGTGGTGGGGGTGGGAGAAGGGAAGACACCCGAGAGATATATGCAATTTTTGTAGGGAGTAATGTTTTGGAAACTCTATTAGTACTGAGTGAGGAAAGGCTAATGCCAGCCTTTGTTCAATGTCAGAGAAATCCACGTGGAGGTAGAGTGAAGGAAACAAGAGTCATCATCTCTGCTACTTGCAACGACTTCGTAGCGATGAGACCTCCACAAAGCATACTGGTGTTATTTGGGGGAGAGGTGTAGGGAAGAGCCAGAAGAGTATGAGGGTTTAAGGAGAAAAATAAGGGTTGTCGAATCAGATCCACGCTGTGATAAACCCTTGCTCTGTTATTTCGTGCGTCTCCTTTTTCTGCAGCTGGGGGTGGCTGGGTGCTCTGGGGATATATGCAGGCAGGAAGATGTGCTATGAATTAGTAGCAACACTGCCCTTGAGTAGGTAAGTGCATTCTACTGACTTCTTGTTTGTGTTAGTTACAGGACTCTCATCAGGCCCACATACAAAATGTCCTACCGAACTGTGACCACGCTGGAGTGGAGGTGCTGTCCTGGCTTCACGGGGAGCAACTGTGAAGAGGGTGAGTTATCCAGCAATGCATCTGTCCTTACAGAGCAGCAAGGGGATGTGTGGATGGACTGGCTGGGTTGAGTTGGGTTTTGTTGCTTAATTTGCTCTACGCCTCTCAAACACAGGAACAAATCACCTGTCCTCTTCACTCCCCATCATTACCTGAATGCTCACACACAAGCTCCAAAAGGTGGTCTTGGAAAACAGACCATACTGAATGCCTGCAAAGAAGCCTGAACAGGGAGGGGGAAAGAAATGAAGAAATGGGTACTCAGGGATGACTTGTTTATAGATGTGCTCATGCTTGGTGTCCCTATTGCACAGTCCTTCAGAAAATGCACTTTCTCCATGTCATTGTGTTATCTTCTCTACATCCTACTGTCATCACCATCAGTTGCTGTAGCTGCTGAAAACTGGTCCCTGGATGGCTGCTTGTAAGAGTTATGCCTGTAAGGTCTGGACACAAATAATATGTGTTCCCAGAGAGCTTTGAATTAAATTAGGCACCTCTGGTTCCCCTTCCCACCTGCCCCCTGACTTATTGGTGCAACATTCAGGTTGCACGGTGTATGTGAAAATACAGTTCTGGGTTTGGTATCTGATCTTTCAGAGAGAGGAAAACACGGGGCTCTTTCCAGAGCTGGAAGAAAGTCTTTTCCCTTTCTCATAATGATGGACAAAAAGGGCATGTTTTGCATTTTCCTTCCTAATGTTTTCTGCTTTAACTGTTGCTTCTGGAGCTTTGACACAAGTCCTGCTTCTCCATTGAGTTTCAGGTTTAGGCACTAAGGCATCTGCTGAATCTGTGTCATGAGTGTTCGTGGCTTATGAATGGGAGACAAACTAAGCCTTGAGTTTTCTGTTTGTTTGCATCAGGTCAACACAGCCTGCCTCTGCTAGCTGGTGAAGGGTCATTGGGGGTGTCCAACATCTCTAAGACTGCTGTTTGTAGCTGTACCTCGTTTTCTTTCTGCTGTGATATCTTGGTGCTAACCACACAATTCAGGCAAATCTCTAACTAGAAGTTGTCTTGTTACAGTCACAAAGAATGATGGTTGCAGACAGCAGCTCGCTTCAGGCTGCTGAGGAAACAATAGCTTCCCAGAAGCTCAAGAAAAGTCTTAAAAAGTGACAAAGCTACCCTAAATTGTAGTCTGCAGGAGAGAGCTCTGCATTTTAGCATGCTGCTAAAAGAAGTGAGCCTGGGAAAGAGAAGCTGCTCTGTGCAGCTTGGATTTTTACCTGTCGCTGCAGGGGAGAGGGATGCTAAGGACTGTGGCAGAATCGTTATTTCCAAAGTAGCTGCAGCTCAGCCTGGCTGAGGATCTGACCCAGGACCCAAGAAGCCCATGTGTGCAGCCCATTTGTGCCTGTAGGTTTGGACAGGTGTGAGTAATTACAGCTTAGTGGTGCTGCTGGTGTAAAGGAGAGAATCCAGCTCCTTCCCGCAGTGCCAGATCTGTCTCAGCAGAGTTCAGTGGAAATAAAAAGCCAACGTAAGCTTGTTTGAGAAAGTCAGCAGCAATCTCGCAGAAGCAGGTCTGTGGAACGAGGTGACAATTTTATGCAGTCAGTTTTCAAGGTAGAACTGTTCTTTTGGGCTTGGATACGGTCTGCAGAGTGTGAGCAGAAAGCCAGTAGCAAGCCCTCACTTTCATGTGTGAGATTCTTTTTACCTTTTTTCCTCCCTAAAACATCTGGCGCTACCGACAGTCCCATATTCTTGAAAGAAGGAGGAAAATAAAAAAAAAAAAGACCCCTTTCTAGTACAGCAGGGTTGTGCCACTTAATTTCTAGCAGCAGTATTGATGCTAGTGGTATGCACAGCACCTCAAGCTGTCCAGAGGCATCAATTTTAAAATTGAAGTATTTACTTTCTCCTTATGTTAATTCTTAATGTTAGTGTCACTTGAAATTGTAAGTAAAAGAGGCTGAAAAGAGTTTTTTAGGGCTTTTTGGCAACCTGATGTAAAGCCTTTTGTACTCTTTCCTTTCTGCACTCTCTCCTACTACAAATTTGGTTCCTCTGAGAGGGTAGGATGCTTACATCTGTGTGGGTCCCTCCTGGAAACAGCAGACAAAAGAAAACAGAAAACTAAACTGAAACAAAACAAAAACAGTGCAGTTATGAAGCTACAGTGAATTAGCAGGGTAGAACCTCAAAACACTTTAATCCTTTTTTTTTTTATTAGCTAGATTTCTCCTCAATATTTCATTTCATTTGTATGTGCAGCTGGTGCTTTTGATGTTGATGTGAGGTAGGTATGATTGAAGGCACATTGGACCTGCACTATTTTTAACTTGCCTTCTTGTTATGTTGCAAATGCTCTAATTCTCTCACAGTCACTATTGTTCTCCATGTGCGTCGTGGTTTAACCCCAGCCGGCAACTAAGCCCCACCCAGCCGCTCGCTCACTCCCCCCCAGTGGGAAGGGGGAGAGAATCAGAAGGGTAAAAGTGAGAAAACTTGCTGGTTGAGATAAAGACAGTTTAATAGGTAAAGCAAAAGCTGTGCACGCAAGCAAAGCAAAACAAGGAATTCATTCACTCCTTCCCATGGGCAGGCAGGTGTTCAGCCATCTCCAGGGAAGCAGGGCTCCATCACACGAAACGGTGACTTGGGAAGATAAAACGCCATCACTCTGAATGTCCTCCCCCCTTCCTCCTTCTTCCCCCAGCTTTATATG